AGATCAACAACACTGTTCAAGCTTGAGGATAAAGAAGCTGTCAAGAGAGCTCTCATGTTCAAGTCTTTCATGGATGGTTTGGATTTTTCAAAGTATCAGCTTTCCAACATGATTGCTATGGATGAGACTGCTGTTTACATGGGTCAGGACACTCAAAAGACAGTCGACTTCAGAGGAGCTTCATCAATTTATGTACCATCAACTGGATATGAAAGTGCACGCGTCACCTGCATTTTGGCAATTCGTCTGGATGGGAAGAAAGCTGCTCCACTTCTTATTACCAAAGGAAAGAAAGAAAAGATTGAATGCCAGGGAGGAGTTTATGTCTTGGAATCAGAAAAGGCATGGAGTACGCAGAATGTAATAAGAAAATGGGTGGACCTTATGCTGCCACTTGTTTTAAGAGGAAGTCAACGAGGTCTCCTCATTTGGGACTCTGCAAGCACTCATCGTGCAAAGGATATGAAAAACTTCTTGGCAGAAAGAAGGGTTGATCAGGTTATGATCCCAGGAGGGATGACTGCTTACCTCCAGACCTTGGACATTGCAATAAACAAGCCTTTCAAGGATTACCTCAGACTTGAAATCAATGATTATATTGAGAATAGGATGTCAAGGAACAAAAATAACAACTTCGTGAAGCCTAATCTGCAGGAGGTAGTCTCTTGGGTAAGGAATGCATGGGGCAAAGTCACTGATAGCTGTGTTGCAAAGACTCTGAAAGCAGGGTACTTGGACAAAACATCGCCATTTGAAGCGAGCTACATCGCAAAACACGATAGATTGGAACCTATGATACTGAAGGAGCTGGAGTCAAATGAAATCTTGGCTGGAATTCAATGATGATATCCCAGAAGATGATGATCTTATTGTATTTGAATAAAATATTATTGTATTTGGGAAAAATAAATGATGTCGAAAAAATTGGCATAATAATATAAGCCCTCCCTCGAGTATAAGACCTAGGGCAATTTTTGGGAAAAAATTAATATAAGACCCTGTCTTATATTCGAGGAAACACGGTAGTTCGGAATTTTTAAGTTCATTTATTCAGCAAAGCCCATTTCTAATATATACACACATTTAGACGGCTGAATATATTTGTGTTTAGATAACAATATTAGTAGTTTGATATTGAGCAGAACGCAGCTTGTAAATGGAATGTTATGTTAATGACTTTGTTTTTTTTTAATCTGAGTTAATACTCACTCTGCTGTTAACAGAAAACATTTATTATTTCAAAGGCATTACGAATCACGCCGTTCAGCTAGTAAAAAATATATAAAATTGGACTAATAATAAATGAAAGAAGTATAAATTAGGGATATAATCATGTGATTAGTTTCTATGCCATTGTTTGTTAACAATGACTTCAATTTTTGACCATTAACCTGAAAAAGAAATGACAAAGGACAATAATTTTTTTAAAGTTTAAGTTGTAGACGCACTTTAAAAAGATTGTACTTCCAGCTTTGACCACGGTAAACAATGCCACGGTAAACAATGCCACGGTATCGTATATAAAACATATATATATATATATATATATATATATATATATATATATATATATATATATATATATATATATATATATATATATAT